TTTGTATTTTTTGTTGCAATGCTCGCTGTCTTCGCATGTCACCCAATCGAGATATTATGTTGAAGCTTAATATGCTGATTGAATACCAACCAACCGGCAGTCGCTGTGAAAGTATGTTTGACGACCAGAGGTGTAACGGCCGGTTGTTGTCTGGTAGAAGACGAGAGATAGATAGAGGGTCTGCATTCGACAAGAACGCACAATGATTAAGGCGAGTACCCTAGCTAGAGCACCTTCTTATCAACCATCTATCTTGAGCGTCAGAGCTGGTAGGATCATGTAATACGAGATAGAGAGAGAGAGGGAAGAAATTGTCAAAGAGATGCTCCCTGCCAGGATCGACAGGCAACCTTCAGATTATGAGACTGACGCTCTACCAACTGAGCCAAAGGAGCTTCAAGCCCATTGGTCGCCCTCGTTTTTCACAACGAATACAGCTCTTCTACGTGATATAGACGTGCTCACATAATCTTCTGCCCTATAAGAGACGGTCCAGAAGCCTTGAACACCTGTTTCAACCACTTTGGACATCTTGACGGACTCACCACTGAAAAAGATGTCATCCCTCCCGACGTCGAACGAACCTTTTCGAGCGCTACACGTATCCCTGCTGCACACAATAGTCGATACCTACCACTTTTTATCGGTACCGACAAATCTTTCCATGCCAGTCGATCGCCGCTCTATTGAATGTCCTATAATACCAGAAGCAATACGGAGACGCCCCGGATGCGCGTGATCGAGTCATCGTTTGTATTTTTTGTTGCAATGCTCGCTATCTTCGCATGTCATCCAATCGAGATATTATGTTGAAGCTTAATATGCTGATTGAATACCAACCAACCGGCAGTCGCTGTGAAAGTATGTTTGACGACCAGAGGTGTAACGGCCGGTTGTTGTCTGGTAGAAGACGAGAGATAGACACAGGGTCTGCATTCGACAAGAACGCACAATACTTAAGGCGAGTACCCTAGCTAGAGCACCTTCTTATCAACCATCTATCTTGAGCATCAGAGCTGGTAGGATCATGTAATACGAGATAGAGAGAGAGAGGGAAGAAATTGTCAAAGAGATGCTCCCTGCCAGGATCGAAATGGCGACCTTCAGATGGTGAGACTGGTGCTCTACCACTGAGCCAAATGGCTCTTCTCAATTTGCTAGCTACTACGCAAGACAAATCAAGAAGAACCCTGTCCCCCGCGATTCTGCAAATCCCTGTCCCGTCTTTCCGCATGTAATATCCAGCGACTGCCTCTTCTCTTGCTCCCGACCAGACGTCACGTGGTGCTCTTGGCTCGAAACGTGTGGCTCTGACAACTCGTTCAGATGGTGCCCCGGTTGGCCCATTCTCGACCAACGATTCGGGGCCCTCGGAATCTCCGATGGCGGCCACTACTGACACTGCTCAGGCTCCACACACTGATGGTAGCCCTGACGAGATCATGGACGAGCCGCCTTCTGGCTCTATCTCGCCCGTCGACCCGCCAACATCTGATGACTTTCCGATGGACAAACCGTTTCCCGCCTCTGAACCCGGCTCTTCGCCTTCGAGCGCTGATCCACGTCCGACGATGGCTGACGTGCTTGGTCAGCAGGAACACTTTCGCCGCGACCACGCCGAGGCTGACGCTGCGCGTCGTCGGGTTGAGAATCCCAAGCCTCTCGCAAGTGACATCGAGTGGATCGAGCGCCAAAACGCCGCTGGTGGTGATTGGTCGTTCATTGCTTCTCGTATCGACCAGGCGAGACCGTATGCTCTTCATCGTGCCAAGTACGACATGGTGATCGCTACTGGTCGGATGTTCGCGAAGACTCCTCTCCAGAAGATCATGGTGTCCCTCTCTGGTACACACCACGGGAATGCCTCTCTTGAGGACCTCTACCGCAGTCATGAGATTGGCCAAATCTCCAAGCTGCCTGAAGGTGATCTCCGCATCAAGGTGAAGTCGAAAGAAGCCTGTCTCCGCTTTGATCGCACGAAGGTGAACATTCTGGTTGGTGTCTACACGTTCAAGGAGTTTGATGTTCTTGGTGGCAAGTACTTCATCGACATCTCCAGCATGGACTCGGACACCGACACCCGATTGATTCTTCAGCGCCTTTTTCTCCTTGGCTACAAGCCTGTATACGACACCTTTCGTGAGCTAAACCTCGCGACTGGCATTACGTCTGCCACTTGGCGCGTGTACTTCTTGACAGCTTCATGTCCCAGCGCTCTGATCGTGAATGGCAGCGTATGCGATCAGGTGTTGTTCACCAACAAGCTCCACCCTGCTCATGGAAAAAATTGCACCATTCCAGTCGGAGCGTTTGCCATTTGGGTATCACTCTCACCACGGACTTGACCTGGGTACGACAACTAGCAACTCTCGAGGTACGGTGCCGGGGTCTGCCACGCATCAGCGCCAGAATCTGACGACACCTGCGCAGTCGTATGAGCACGCTGTAAAAGTGCCTGAAGATGCAGTGACTATGAAATTTCCCAAGAAGACCTCACGCCAAAAGTCAGTTAAGGATGCGAAAAAACGGGAAGTTCATCTCCGCCACGGAGCTCAGCATGCCAAGACATCTGCGGACACTCGGCTCGTCACGACTTCGTCCAGCATCTCGGAAGCTTTATCGATCTCGACATTGTGTGGGTCCCACGGCAAGATCACTCCTCCTGGGAGCGAAATGCTCAGACGACACCCCCTCTTTTGCTGACGAATAGCGAGAGCAACGGTTTCACGACTGCGACTTCCAGAAAAAACGCGGCCGTAACGGGTTTGACTTCTCCAACATGCTGGTAAAGCAATCGAAGCTTCCATTGGATGGCATTGCCACCACCAACTACTTTCAGGCGCTCCAGACGATGGAGGTCCGGTTTGAATCGACCGACTTGACGGAGGACCCGACCCTTGGCGTTCATCACCAAGCTTTACCTTTGGGTGTGAAACGTCCTGATGCGCTGCAGACCTCGACCGAGTCCGCTTTCTTCGTTGAGAAACATCACACGAAGATCAAGAAAGCTACCAGGGCTTCTTTTGTGCCTGAAGTGGCTGAGGCCATGCTCAGTGACGATAAAACGGCGCTCCTTAGCCTTTTACCCGACTGTTTTGATGCCGCCAACAGCAAGGTCGGCAGCATGTGCAAGCTTCTCAAAACGCCGCGAACCCCGACCACTTTACCAAGAAAGCGGTCAAGTGTCCTCTTGCCTTCAAAAGTGCACTTGCGCTGACGATGCTGGAGGGTGGGTCGGCGATTGACGATGTCGCTCAGCTGGGAACAGCGGTTCCCTCCAAACGCGGTAAGATCTACACCCTGTGTGCCAAGTGGTAGACGTCCACACCCGCCATTGAAGAGCTGTCTCATGCTTCCAAAGCCTTGGGCATGTTTGAGCTCAAGCTCATGTCCATTGCCCCCGTTAGCTTTTCCAATGACCATTGGATCCAGTACATCACTGGCCAACCAGTAGAGTGGATCCCTGCGCATCATGCGCGCCTTCTCCACCCAAACACCCTCCTCCGTCTTCTGTGGTCCAAGTTAGGTGCTCACTGCATGCAGCAATGGAAGGAGGTGCAATGGCAGGGACACCTTCGGGATAAACTCGAAGCTCTTCAGCAGCTTGAAGGCTTCTACCCTGAAGACTCGTCCGTCTTACGGCTTCACGCGGTCTACGGCGGGGCTTCGATGCTAGCGAGTGCGCTGGCCGCCCGTTGCTAAAGGCCCCTCGGCACGGACATCCTGGAGCAACATCAGTGTTCTGACAGTGAACACTAACGGAATCAAACAGAACGGTCATCTTCTCATTGAGAATTTGCTCTCCAACCACTCAGTATCGTGTCTCCAAGAAACCAAGTTCGGTGACGCCACCCATCTTTCGACATTCAAGTTTTACCTTGACTCCAGCTTCAAAAACAAAGTCTTCGTCAATGACCCGAATTCCCATCAGCACCGGCCGACACGGGGGGAGCCACGGGGTCGTCACAGTGCTTCGCTCTGACTTTCCCGGTTTCGACTCAGCGGTTAAAGTCAACCGTCTCTCCGTCACCGGGCGTTATCTCGTTGTGCGAGTGATGGCCGATGGTTTACCATACTACCTCCACACCGTTTAAACATCAGTCGACCGCCAAGAAAAATGCCAGTTTTTCTTGAGTTTGGTCACGGAGGAGTTTGAAGATCACGCGACCCGTCTTGTGTTGGGAGACCTCAATACCCCTTTAAGCTCGACTAGACTCATCGACTCCAGACTTGCGCTATGACCCTGGTCGGTCCAGCTGTCTTGAATGGATGGCCAAACTCGGCGTCGTCGACGCTTGGAGGATCCACTTCAACACCAACCGAGTTGTTACTGGTCCTCTACCCCGCAAGAACCGTCTGGATTACATCTTGATTTCGGAGTCCTTCTCGAACAATTTCTATAGCGATTCCCGGTGTTTTCTTTCGCAACATGCTGGTGACCATCTTGCTCAAAGTGTAAGTTTCAAGTCGGGATCCCAGCTCCACGGTCGGGGATACTGGAAGTTTCCGAGTTATCTGCTGGGTTACCCTCAAATTGTTTCTGCAATCGAACGAGAAGCAGAGATAGTCCGGGACTGACTGCGTTCTGTCTCAAACCCGGGCAAGATATGGAAATCGTGGAAGCAATCCATCAAGTCTCAACCTCAGGCGGTCCATAAAAAGCTTCGCCTCCAAGACGCCCAGGCCATTGAGGCGTCTCGGATACGTCTTGATCGTGCCGCGGCCCGGTTTCGCGAAAGTTCTTGTGCTCAGGACCGTGACCTATTCGATGCTGCCATGCGTTACTACAAGGAGGCTGTGACTCGCTCCAGCCAGTATAACCAGGATGCTGCCTTCGATTTCCAAGAGGTCAATTTAGAAAGATCAACGAAGTGTTTCTTCCGCCCACTGGACACAAGCTTGAGAAGTGTTTCCATTGAGGAAGTCGTGATCCCACTGAGTCGCTTTCGACGAATCCCACGTACATATCTCAAAGGTTCCTGGAGCACTGGGGGTCTGCGATGGGAGATCCCACCAGTCCGGCTGGCCTGGGTCCTCCTCCACATGCTGCGTTACAGCGGACGCTGCTCAACACAGTCGTTCGATCTGTATCTTCTCTCGACCGTGACATCTTAGACGCCCCGGTAACTGCTACGGACTTGGCAGCCGCCATCCGCCACATGCGCGCGACTTCGTCACCTGGTATGGATGGTCTGACGGCTGGTTTCTACCAGGTCGCCCCTGACGTCTTCGGAGACTGCCTTAGTATCGTCTTTTAAAGATCGTCTCCACCGCGGTACGCTCCTCCCGTCCCAGCGGAAGTCAGCATTTGTTCTGCTTCACAAGAAAGGGTCACGTGCGGCTCCTGGAAACTACCGCCCGATTACTCTTGTACAAGTCGATGTGAAGATACTGTAGAAAGCGCTCACGTATCGCCTCCAACAGGTGATCCCCGATTTGATCCACCCCGACCAGAAGGGATTCGTCAAGGGACGATCAATTCATCACCACGTGCGCTTCCTGGCCGATCTTCAAGACCTGGTTACCGGCCGGAACGATGAAGCGTACGCGCTGTTTTTAGATTTCGAAAAAGCCTTCGATAGAGTCAACTGGGACTACATGCTTCGTCTACTCGAACGCCTGGGCTTTGGGTCGACATTTACGCGGTGGATCCAGCTTCTTTACACGGACCCACGGGCCCATCTGATGATCAATCAGAACATCCAACCAGCGCTCTTCCCGACACGCGGTCTAAAGCAAGGGGATTTGTTATCATCCCTTCTTTTCATCTTGACCATCGAGCCCCTTAGCAATCTCCTCCAGAAACACGAGGAGTATGGCATCTGTCTGAATGCGGACCACACTTCCACCGGCGCGTTCTTCGCTGATGACTCCACTCTCCTGAGCAGCTCAATCGCGAACCTGCAGGACCAGCTGCTTCTTGTCCAAGATTACTGCCAGAGGTCCGGTGCCAGACTTAACATACAAAAATCTGTGCCGCTCGCGCTCAACCGGAACCACACGTGTCCACTTCTTTCTGGTATGAGATTTCTCAGTTGGACGGATACGGTGAAATACCTTGGCAATCCCTTTGGGCAGTCCTCGGTCGATACCGTGATCACCGACTTTCTTGAGCAGCGCTTCTACGACGGCTTCAAATTGTGGTACTGACGGGCTTGTACGCTTCGGGGTCGTTTGCTGGTAGCCTAAACTATGATCCTTTCTCGCTTGTGGCACTATACTCAGCATGTGTCCATTTCGACGACAACGGTGCGGCGTTGGCAATCGATGCTGAATCGGTTCGTGTTGAGTCGATAACACGACCGCGAGTTATCCCACATTCATCCCCCTCCCAGTGCTTTTCTCTACCAGCGCTGCTGTGACGGAGGGTTGGGATTTCCTGACCTTGCTGCTCATCTGAAGCGCTACCGGCTCCAACTGCTTTTGCAGATTTTCTGTGGATTGGAGACGCCATCGGTAAAAAATTAAAAAGACAGCTAACTCTGAGCTGATTCTGAGGTTCATCCCGCCCACGGGTCGGAGGCACACCTTTGACTGTCTCACCATATTCCCGTTGCGAAATGGCGACATTATCAAGTAAGGACTGGCTTCTGCATGGTGGAAGGGCGGCGTGGAAACTGTGGTACTCCCTTCAGTAGGAGATCACGTGGCACGACCTTCCTCCTAATGACCGCGCTTGGTACGTCTCCGTCAGCCTATTTGGTTCCACTCAGACTCCGCGCTTTATTACGAGCAATCACCCCGGGTTTTGACAACTACCCCCCATCGGCGGAGTATCGGTATGGTCGCTGAGCCGCAACGAATCTTTAGGCTACATCTATCCCACGTCTTCGGTTTACGGTCGCTTTCGGACTTCATCCTTGTTGGCGAAGCCTGGCCGTCGCAGCAGGAGTTCGTCGAGCGTTACATTGACTTCACGCTTGTCTATGCAACACCCTGGAAGCAGGTGACATGGTTGCGGGTGCTCCACACCGAAACTACCCAAATTGTCGAGCGCCTAGGTGCGACAGAACTAATTTTGCCACCCGCTCCTGTGGAGCAGTGTGTCCATCCCCATCTTGGTTGTACCTGCAGTGGTCGGGAGTATTTCGTCCCTGCCATTCCGAAGTCTGCTCTTCTTGGCGTGGTTTGGACACCGCCAGTGCCGAAGAAACCTCATCCGATATCGCTACACTCGAGGTCGGCGGGACCGGGACAAATTCGGTCTTTTTTGCGGTCCTCCATATACTTTGGCCGTGTCTTGCTTCCCGTGTATGCAGACCTCCAATTCCGCCTCGCTCTTCAGCTCCTTCCGGTGCTTTCTCAGTTCTGGTTTCTGGGCGCGTCGATCCCCGGTGTCCAATATTTTGTGCAATCGGGTTGCCAGGCTGTCGAGACCGAGCGCCATCTTTTCTTCTAATGCAATCTTGCTTCCCAGTTATGGAGTCATCTCAACGGCGTGCTGGCACCGTTCTTTATCCAGCGTGCGACTTGGGAGGACGTTGTCTTCGCGGCTCGCCGTCGCTTACGGGTCGAGTGGGTGCCTGATGCAGCACTTGTTCATGACATCTGGCACACATTTCGAGCCGTCACGCTCCACTTCGTCTGATTTGACCGCAATCGGTGCCTGTTTGATGGCAGGCGATCAACCCCAGCAGCCCCTGCTCTGCTGGTTATCTTCTCGACTACCAGCGCTCATCTACGGCGCGGTCTTCGACATCGGTATGATGATGTTCAAAAGCGAGCTCTTCAGCGTGCTGTGAAGGCGATGTCGGTCGACAACGCCTTCACCAGCTTCCTTCTCGTCCACCCTGATGCTCTGGGTATTCGGCATCGCACAGGATGGACCCATGGTCCATCATTCTCTTGACCGTCGGTGACCCTCTCACCGACAGCGATAGTACTCTGACGTGGTCCATCCTTCTCCACCTCCGCTGGACTCGTGCATTTCAAGACGGCAACCACCACACTATCGGCCCTCCCTCCTCTGACGCAACCCACTCCGACCTCGAGCCCGCAGCCACCATCTGATGAGGCGCTTTCGCTGGCCCGTGGTCCGGTTTGAAGCTGAGCCAGATTTAGGCTGAGCCGACACCATGGTGCCGTTGCCATCCTGGTACACTCTTCGAGGCTTCAAATTTGAGAGTTCCTTCCCCTCTACAAGGCTATCCCCCAGGACGACAGCCACCATACGGTCGGCCACCCCTCCTCCAAAGCTGCTCTCTACGGCCTCGGGCCGCAGCGACCATCTGATGAGGCGCTATCGCTGACCCGTGGTCCTGATTGAGTAGCG